CCCATTTTCAATACCATCCGTCCCACGCCCAAAAGAAGTTCACGTACTAAGTTTCGTTAAGATATCTCAATTTTTACTCGAGTTATCGTGTGCACAGACGGACGGACGGACGGACGGACGGACAGACAGTCACCGCTTAATCGATTTCTCTTTTCATTCTGATCATTTATGTATACATTTGTCTATATCTATCTCGATTCGTTTTGCCTGTTACAAACAACCGTTATGTGAACAAAGTTATAATACCCTTGTGCACAAGTGCGCTCGGGTATAAAAATTTCAGTTTGTTTTGATGGAATTGTACCAGTGCGGGGAATTTCACCGAAAATCGGGTAATTTCGCGGTGACCAACGGGGAGAAAGATACAATGAGTTGGCATCCCTGGTATGAGCTGTTATAAGCAGTGTTGCCAGGTCTTCAGCGTGAAAAAACGTCCCTTTTGGTCTGAAAAAACGTCATTTCCTACCCAAAAACGTCTTTTTCAAATGAATGTACAAAAATTTGTTCTTATTAAACTTTTATTGTATACACAGGTACATGTGTACGTAAGGTATATTAAAATGTCATTTCGACAAAGCACATTTAAAATTCATTGTAAACTGGTTTGAGATCGTTAATATAAAAATCATTTTATACATACACTTGTGATCAGCTGCTTAAGTCATCAACATTTTGATCGATTTTGGCTGTTTCTCTTTTGTTCATTATTTTTCCATAAAAACCAAGCTCATTATATATCAAACTTTGTGCAAAAATTATAAAAAATCGGCAAAGTTTCAGCTAGATTTTCAACTTTTTATTCAGATTTTGTAGATATCTAGATATATTTTTTGGTATGCAGTGATAGCCCATTAAATTTCGGGGCAATAATGTGCAAGTTCAAAGGCGCTAAATAATCGCGTTGATTTTTAATAATTTTTTTTAGGGGGTCGGTTGTCGAAAATGCTAAATTACGTTCTGCTAAGAAGGAGCATAGCAATATTTCAGCCTTTTTTGCGTTCATTACATTTTCAATGAAGTCCTAAAAAAGTCGCCCTCTTTTTTTCTGACTTTTTATGCTGCGCAGCTTTTTTTATGCTTTTGTGAGCGTGCGTGTTGCAATAGATCGGCTCTTCCTGATTTGGCTTTTAATGTGCAATAGCAAACATTACAATAAGCCTCGTAACCTCAAGTGTTTACACAACCAGCCTTTGAAAACGGGAGACTCAGTCCAAGAATCCAAAAGAAATGCGCGTACGCTTGGTTTGCATCATATTTAAGTCATCTGTGTCCAAAGAATAAATATCTTTTGAAGCACAAACCTTGTAAAGATTTATTAAGAAAATAGTTAAAAATCAGTTCTACTTACAAGATTTATTAACATAGAAAAATTACTGGGAAGTTAAAAAACGTAATTTTTACCACAAAAAA